CGCCCTTCTAGGTACCAGAGATACGCTGATGAATAAGGCAGATGTGGTCTGTGTCCTCTGGTCTTTGTTCCTGATGACAGAGTGAGCAGCTGCAAACACGGAGATCGGTCTGTGCCCCTTGAGTCCCAGCACGACACTATGTGTTGCACTTGCCCATCCTCGCGTATGCCGCGCTCGCCTAGGCCCTCAACTGACTGGATCCAAGGAAGGCCTTTCACCTGCCGAGTGGAACTCAGAGTAGGGGTTAAGCACGTGGGCTTTGGGGTCATTCCCTGGGTTTAAATCCGAACTCCGCCCCTTATTATCAGTTACTCACTAGCTGTGTCGTCTTCTCTGTACCCGGTCAGGTTGTCTCTTGCGTTGCAACAAACTACCCCAAAACTTAGGGACTTAAAAACTTATTTTCTCTCACGGTTTTGTGGGCCAGGAATTCAAGCAGAGCTCCACTGGGCAATTCTTCAGTTCCATGTGATACTCGCCTGGAGGCTGGGGCTGGTCTGGAGAGTCAGGTGTGGCTTTGCTGTCTGGTGGCTGGAAGGCTGGGCTCAGCTGAGTCCTTCTCCGGTTCCACATGTTCTCCAGTTGGGTGCCTTACAGCCAACCCAGGCCTCCAGAGTCACTGTTCCAGAAGACAGACAGTGGCAGCTGTCAGACCCAGAAATGAGCAGGGCTTTACACCCTCACTTTTGCCTGTTGTTGGTTAAGACACAGGCTGCTCAGATTCAAGGCAGGGAGAGACCTAGATCCCACCTCCCCTTGGAGGAATGTCAGAGTTGTAGCCCTCTTTAATGGTCCACGTGCCTCATCATCCTCATCTATAAACTAAGAGGGGTACTTATGATTATCATGAGAATTAAATGAGATGAACTGGGTATGAGATGAGCATAGGGACTGAAAAAACACACGTAAAGGCCTTAGAACAGTGCATGGCACGTTAGAAGCATTTTGTAAGCACGGGTCTTTATCATCACTGTCTTAGGCACATGATCCGTCGTTATTTACACTTGTCACCCCTAAGACTCATGAGGAATATGAGATGTAAATTCTTTTTCTAGAGCTCTCTCTAATCTTGTGGGGGAGGTACAGAATTGCTGTCATGAAGCCATTAGAGAACTGTACTGAGTAGTACAGAATAGTTATGATTTTCATAGTCCATGTAAATTGTGTAACAGTTTCTAACTGTACATTACTTCTATATAGCTGGAAAATGTCTAAAGATCGAGAACATTTGCTGCATTTTAGCGTTAAAGCCTACAGAGGAAGGTTTTGTGTTGTATTTTTAATGTCCTTTTTCTCGTGGGATGTAGCATAGCACCAGAGCATGGGCTCCAGGGTTAGGAACCAGGCTTTAAATCCTGGCTTTGGAACACAGGATATTTAAACTCCCCATTTCTTAATTTCGTCTCTTCAAAAAGGCCGACAATAGGGTTCTTGTCGGATTATTGGAGTTAATGGATAGAATGTGCTTAACACAGTTCCTAGCCCGAAAGTAGTGAATGATAGGTAATAACAATAAGCCAGTAATCCTTTTCTTTTCAAGCAACTGATGGGGCGGGGTAGGTAACTGAGTACTCTATCATTTGGCTGTTCGGTACCCTCGAAGATTTAACACGGGGCACTGCCCCACCACCTGACATAACGCTCCCCTTTCTGTATTCTTGGTCTGAGTGATAAAACCCTCTCCCCGTGCTTTAGTGTTGCACTTTATAGGTGACATCACCTCTAATGCTAGTTTTCTTTGAATCCCACCCTGATCTCAAACCAGGAGATCATGCCAGTACCCCAAGCTTTACATGTCAGAAACTAAGCTTTCCGTGAAGAAATAGGGGAATCCAAATGAGGTGTAGAGCTGAGGGTGAGTTTTAGAGATTCGAAGTCGAGGGGTCATACAGTGGAGATGGTTAGCAGAAAGTTGGACATTTGGAGCTAGTGATCAAAGCTAAAGTGTCCCATTTTGGGGTTGTCTGCTTTGAGCAGATGAAGGCCAGGAGTAGATGTGATTTTCATGGGAAAGAGAAGGGGGCCCAGGGGCTGAATCGTAAGGGACGTTACCGCTTGGCAAGGGGCTCGCCGAGGAGGACGTACAGAATAGAGAGGAAGCATATCAGGGGCTTGGTAAGAGGAGGGCCCCGGGGGAGGCAGGCGTGTCCAGAGGGAGGTGCGCAGACCGCACTCCACAGGCTGTAGCTGGGGAGCGGCCCCTGCGGGCACGTGTGTAGCAAGACACAAGGGAGAATGGTAGCAAGACGCAAGGTGAGAAGAGAGTCCTCCGAAAGCAGAGCCGGGTGTGGAGTGGCTGCTTTGAGGGGTGTCAGAAAACGCGCTGTGATGAATAGATGTGCCTAGAGGGACGGTTTTGTTGTCCTGTTTTCTTCTGCTTTTTTTCAACGCGAGGCAGTCTTGGTGTGTTGGCAGGAACTGGTGGGCCAGGTGGGGACAGAGCAAAGCAGTGAAAAAGCCGAGAATGAAGCCGAGTGCTGGGGGAGGCCGTGGTGGGGGCAAGGGGAGGAGGAAAGCTGGCTTTGCAAGGAAGGCGCACTTCATCCTGTGAAGCTGAAGGGGTCGAGTGAGGGACGAGCGAGAAAATTGGAATTACGAAAATAATTTAAAGGCACTCAGGTTACATCAAGTTATCTGTGGACTCAACCTTCATGGTGAAGTGAGGTCACAGTCACTTTTATGGACGAGGGAGACAGACCTGGTGGAAAGGAAGAGAAGGGAAAGGGCCTAGAAGAGCAGCTGTGGAGCTGGAGGGGGGGTGTCAAAAAGATGTAAAGAGACATCACTAACTGTTGTTCGTTAGCAGCAGAGGTTAGCCAGCGTGGATCTTAATGGGTGAGTGTCTGCTCTGTGCCAGGCAAAGGTGAATAAGGTGGTCCCCTCAGAGCTCACAGCAGAGCTGGAGACGCAACTGATGGAACATAAGGATAGGTCATCTAGGGAGGCAGGTGTGGGGTGCCGTACGATTGCAGAGGGGGGACCCCAGACTTGAGGAAACACTGGGGAGGAAGGAACACGTTTCCGAACGGCAGGAAAGGCTTCTAGGAGATGGTGACAGCTCAGCAGAGCCCTGATATTTGGAAGAGTCCAGTGTGGATAAAGTATTCCCAGGACAGGAAGTATCAGAACCGAGGGCTTTGGGGGCAGAGAGCAAGGCAGGGTCCTGTAATCTGCCTGCCCCAGGACCAGCTGGACGCTTGCAGTGCAGACGCGTAGGCCCCGCACAAGACTGGACAAAACCCAGACGGTGTCCAGGAGCCGGGACTTTTCACAGACTCTCCGGGTGCTCTTTAGAGAGAACATTTGTTGAATACTTAATATGTCTGTTGCTGTTCTCGATGTTCATGTGGGTTCTCACAATTGTCTCCGTAACCCGTGAGGTAGGTTGAGGAACGTGGACGTGGAGATAGTCATTGCCCAAAGTCACGTAGGTCATGAGCAGTGGCCGGGGCTCCGCACTCTCCCCAACACAGCTTGTCTGGGGACCCGCAGGTAGCGTGTTTTGGTGGGCACCTAGGGGGCATGGGAGGGGATAAGGCGACGGTGATCACGATGGGAGAAGGGGCTGTGTTCAAAAGCTTCGTTTTGGCTTCGTGGTTTGGTGACTTTTTCCATCATGCTTCTGCACTGAGGATGAAAGCGAACGAAGAGACCACACCGTTCCACACGGCCATTGCGGCACACGCCTGCCCCAGGCTGACTTCATTTGTCCCCACGACTTCTCTTCCCTTCAGCGTGTCTCCCTGGATTGTGCTCCTGGCATGAACCCGTGCCTTCCTCTCCTGTGTATTCAGGTGTCTGAGTACTGTATTTGTGTGGTTGTGTGTCGTGTACTTGTGTGTGTGTGCGTGCGTGTGTGTGTGTGTGTGTGTGTGTTTAGTAGAATTTAGGCTTCGTGAGGGCGGGGACTTGGTATGTTTGCTGGTTTGTTGCTGTAGCCCTAGAACCTGGCACATAGAGAGGTTGAAGAGATGTGAGACCTTCCGTGTCTGAAAGAGGGTGTCCCGTCTCCTTCAGTCTTAAAGTCAGCGTTCTTGAAAAGGCCTGTAAGATTCTACATGGTCTGACCCTCTCCCCTTCTCTCTCTCTCTCTCTCTCTCTCCCCCCCTCTCCCCCCCTCTCTCCCTCTCCCTCCCTCTCCTCCCTCTCCCTCCCTCTCCCTCCCTCTCCCTCCCTCTCCCTCCCTCTCCCCCTCTCTCCCTCTCTCTCTCCCTCTCTCTCATAAGCACATACAAGCACTGACACACACAGGCACATCATGTCCTGCCACTCCCTTGGCTTCAGCGCTCTCAAGCTCAGCAGGCGCCTAACGCTTTCTAGTCTGTGCACGTCGGGTACGTGCAAGACGGGTGTTTGCTAAGGTAGCAGCCCATCAGAGAGGCAGGAAGAAGCAGACTAGTACACGTGCTGCTTTGTGATATCTTTGCTATTAGTGTCTCGTGACGTAAGTTAATTTATTTTGACTTACACCTTATCTCTGCAGGTAAGTTCCTAATTTTCCTCACCTTCTAATTCAGCGCCCCACGTATAGGTGCTCAATAAATACGGATTGATCTTATCCGCTTGGCTTTTCTCTACCCTTCTAAGTGTTTACATACACACGCTTTGTTGTTGTTGAATTATTCCAAAGTAGAAACAAGAGAAACGCATATAGCATTGTCATGGTCGTAGTCTACATTTGCACTGTCAAATCCCGTGGCTCTTTAAATAAATTAAAGGTTTAGTTCCCTAGTCACACCAGCCACATTTCAAGTGCTTAAGGCGGCTGTATCCAACGGTGTAGATGCGGAACATTTGCATCACTGCAGGTAATTCTGTGAAACTGCACCGGTCTCGATGCTTAAGACCCAGGGTTTTTTATGCTTGTTGTTGGTTTGTTTGAAGGAGCCATGGCTGAACCGCAGGTCGGTCCGCGGGTTCTGGGGCCACGTAGCTCCCAGTCACCCCTGGGTCACGGTCTACTTCGTGCTCTTCCTCGCAGGTCTCCCGGGTGTTTGAGCATGGACCCGGTTGCCACCCACAGCTGCCACCTCCTTCAGCAACTGCACGAGCAGCGTATCCAAGGCCTGCTTTGTGACTGCATGTTGGTGGTGAAGGGGGTCTGCTTTAAAGCACATAAGAATGTTCTGGCAGCGTTCAGTCAGTATTTCAGGTACGTGTTGTAGACTTTGTTCTTCTAACCGTATGGAGAAAAAGCTCTTGTAGCGTGGATGTGTGTTGACTAAACTTTGTTCTCTCCTTGGATTTCACCTGTTCTTACCTTTTGCAGCACTTGGTGCGAGTTTTGCTTTTTGTATTTAGAGCAGCCTGAGAGGAAAAGAGGCTTTTGACCAAAAACTGTCTGGGCTGATTCAAAGTGTGTTGCCACTTTGTCTTTAAGAGCTCTAATCAATGTCAGGTTTCTCTACGTATTTCTTACCCTTTTGTGGTAAAAAGATTGCAGAATAGAATTCCTGGTGAGAACTTCCTTGTGATAAGAAACTGAAGGGGGAAAACACCCTACATACTGATTTTTTATTAGAATATTTTCATTTTTGTTTTTCACTGGAATAGTCTAAGAAAACAGGTTTGAACTGAATTTATTTCTTCCTATACTCATTTTTAGGTTGTTAGACATTGTTGGACTTAAGTGTTCTACGTACGTTTTCTGAGTAGCTGAGATTTATCTCTCTGTAAGCACTGAAGCTTTTCTTTGGTACCTTTTTTCCCCTTAAAATGCATACCGTTTCATTGCTCTTGTAAATCGTATATGGAACCTGACTTAATCTTTCCATCAAATTAAACCTCCGCCATCATCCATGGTCTAAGTACATGTTGTAATGAACGGATCAGCTCACTGAGGTAATCAGCCCTTTTTGTCCCTGTGCAACTTGGTCCCACACTCTGCTTTCCCTGCCCCTTTTTAATTTGTGCTTCCCTCAGGCAGGAACAGAGCTGAAGGCTATTTTGGGGAAGCAGGTGATTGGATTAGGGAAAAGGTCCACAAACTTGCCAGACCACGTACCTGACCCAGCTTGGTGGTTTAGATGCAGCACAAACTCGTTCACCTGGAACTTGACGCGTGTGCAGAATAAAGCGCGTGGGCGTTGTGCCCTTTCCCCCCATTCACTCCTAGGGTTCTTCTTGTTCTCACTGCTGGCTTGTGGGCCGTTGGGTTGCAGAGAAACGTCTAACAGATCTGATTACAAAATGAGTGTATATCAAGTCCCTAGAGTTGTCAGATTCACAGACACAGAAAGTAGAGTGGTAATGCCAGGGGCTGGCGGGGGGGGGGGG